TTCGGAAAAAACCTCTGTCCTGGGAAGAACCAGCAAGAAACCCAGCGGGACTTTTTTTTTTAAATAACAGCCTACAATCATGATGTTACACAAATTAACAACACAACAAATTAGAAATAGCATGGTAGCGATCACCTCATTTCCAGGGGTTATTATCATCCATAAATTCCTTAATATTATAATAACCTTTTTTATACAAACTTAGTTTAATAAAGTTTTTGAACTTTGAACAGGTCAAACTTTGTATATTTTCTGGAATTTTGTTGTAAAAGCGTATACATCGCCCCAAGAATGAATTACTGACTCGATGGAGTCGAGTAACTGGTACTACTAGCTTGTGTCTGTTCCTAGTATTTACAGAATGAATATCACTTATTTTTGTAAAACTACTTTTATTTTTCTGTACGTACATTACATTTTCATAAATGTATTGAGAGGCCAAAGTTAATATATTAATTTCCTTAAATTTTTGTCGCAGCGACTCTTTAGGCTTTAAATCATAAATTGCTCTTATGGCCCTCTTCTGCTAAACAAATATAATTTCAGTGTCAGCTGCGTGTCCCCATAGCAAAATACCATACGACATTATGCTATGGAAGTAGCTGAAGTAAACTAGTCTAGCTGTTTCAACACTGGTTAGACTTCTAATCTTTTTTACAGCATATGCTGCAGAACTAAGTCTGCTTGCTAGTTTTGATATATGGGGGCTCTATTGAAGCTTCGCGTCTAGTGTGATTCCAAGAAAAATGGTGGTATCTACAAGACTCAGTTTCTCCCCATTTAAAATTACATTAGTATTTAATTGTTTGACATTTGGAGTCATGAATTTCATACATTTTGTTTTAGTGCCATTTAAATGCAAATTATTAACATCGAACCAATTTACTAATTTAGATATAGCATTATTTACTTCGTCATATTTTAGTAACTGTCGACTTAATTTGAAAATTAGAGAATTGTCATCTGCAAATAATACTATATCATGGTTATCCCCTACTATGTAAGGTAAGTCATTAATGTATACAAGAAACAGAATGGGGCCGAGAATTGAGCCTTGAGGCACGCCCATTTGTACCATCGATCCGGAAGAGCTCATATTGTTAATGACAACTTTTTGCGTTCTCTTACTTAAATATGAAATAATTAATTTAAGGGCATCACTTCTTACACCGTAGTGTTGAAGTTTCCTGATTAATGTTTCATGGTGAACACAATCGAAGGCCTTGGATAGGTCACAAAATATACCCAAAGCATCCTGGGAATTCTCCCATGCATTAAAGATATATTTAATCAGCTCAACACCGGCATCAGTTGTCGAGCGACCCCTTGTGAAACCAAATTGATTTTTATGAAGTAAATTATTTATATTAAAAAAATTTAACATTTGATCAAGAACAATTTTTTCAAAAATCTTACTAAGTGTTGGTAGTACAGAAATAGGTCTAAAATTGGCGGGGTCTAATGTACTACCAGATTTAAATAAAGGTATTACTTTACTATGCTTCATTAAATCAGGAAACACACCAGATTCGATACTAGTATTAAAAATAATAGCTAAATGAGGCGCGATTGTATCTATTATAGACGCAATAACTTTGACGGAAATCCCCCACAGATCCGCAGTTTTTTTAACATCAATAGTTTTAAAATATTTTACAATATCTTTCGATGACACTTTATGAAATGTAAAATTCTTTGTACACACATTTACATTTTGTTTAAGTAATGATTCGGCGACGGCAGGAGAAGAATTCAGTGACTTAGTGGTCAAGATCGGAATATCAGTAAAATATTTCTCAAAAACCATTGCTACATCCTGATCTGATACAGATAATTTGTTGTTAACACTTAACTGGTAATTTGAATTGCAAGAGTTGATCTTACCAGTTTCGCTATTAATTATACTCTATATCACTTTAATTTTATTGGAAGCCGTCTTAATTTTGTTGCTCAAATGCAAAGACTTGGCTATGGAGCACACTCTTTTAAATATTTTTGAAAATTTTTTTACATATTCCCTAAATTCGACGCTATGATTATATGACCTTTCATGGTAAAGATCATATAACCTATGCCTGCTCTTATGGACTCCTACTGTCGCCCATTCATTGAATGACTTCCGACTGTTCAAGGAGAATGTTTTAGAAGTAAAAGTATTATTAAATTCATTGCAAATAAGCTTAAATAATGTTCCATACAAAAAATTAGGATCATTTTGGTATGAAAATGATGGAAGTTTTTTCACTATGTTACTTCTAAATTTCTCCAAGCGACGTGCATTTACTGGAATAAACACAACTTTCTCATCTACTTGCTTTTTGTGGACATAAGGTAACGAAACTACTTGTCCACAGTGATCAGAACTTAATTTTTGAATTATACATTTATGCAACGGCTTCACATTTGTAAAAATGTTATCTATACATGTTGCATTAGATTGAGAAATACGCGTTGGCTCTATAAATAAATTAAAAAGACCATATGATTTAAACAATGATCTAAATTTAATATTGATGGAGGAAGCTTCTAGGAGATTGATATTAAAGTCTCCACATATTACAACAGATTTATTCTGTTTATTAAGCTTAGCAAAAACTTCCTCCATAATGTTTTCAAAAGTATCATATGTACAACATGGGGGTCTGTAGACCGCTCACAACAATGAGGTGCTCAAACTCAACACATGCCATTTCTACAGTTCGCTCAACAGAGAGGCTCACAATGTTTTTACGTTCTTTACATGATAATAATTTACTAGCTAATATTAAGGAGCCACCTCTTAAAACCGTATCTCTATTGAAAGAACTGACCACCTGGTGATTACTGAAGTTAAACATTAAATTATAAGCTTTTAACCAATGTTCAGTAATACATAAGATATGAATATTGTTGCTATTTAAGAACAACTCAATTTCTAGCTCTTTGCCTATCATGCCTTGTATATTTTGATGCACCAGGTGTAAACAATTTTCATTATTACTCTGTGGAGTCATACAATTAAATATTTGTAAGCTACATTCTAAATTATTTAAGTTATTATAACTGCTAAAGATTACCTCTATTGTCTCATTTTCTAATTTAAATTACTTGGAACTGATTCCAAATTGCATATTAAGTCATTACACTGCTCAAAAGAAGCAGATGTCTGTGTAGCCAAGTCCTTGGCTGAGTTAATATATAAATAATAAGATAGCACATTTGCTATCTGTCTTAAATTATATTTTGATAGGTAATACCTATCTCTAGTCAAAAATTTCTTAATTAAATTATTTATATCTATTAAATTAATTCTATCATTATAATTGTAACAATTAAATGTCAAGTTTAAATTATTATTACATGAAAAGTTATTCATTAATAAATTTAAATCATATCTTATTTTATTTTCCTGCGGCCAACCCTGTATGTAAGGCAATGTAAACAAGATAATTTTATGTACATTTAAAGTATTTAGATTATCAATATATTTTAATAATTGATTTTTGTTTACATTGCCTCTTCTCCCAACAAGAATTATTAATGTGCTATTAGGACAAAATTTACTAGCTAAAACTTTATTCATTATATGACTAAAGGATGCTCCAGGCATGCAATAATTAGTGATCATATGTCCTTTTAAACCGTTATTTAACATTATGCCCAAATTTTTGCCTATGTCATCACAATACATAATAACTTTATTTTTTTTAATATTTACATTGCTTTTTAAGTTTATATCCTTTGTCATGGCACTGTCATAGAGTTTAATATTATAAAAACTATAAGCTACAACATTTTTGGATGAGAAATACTTGAGAATAAACTTTAAAGACAAGAAGAAAATGTCAATCACACTTAATAATTTATACAATACTATATAATATAATGAAATTTGCTTTATAAACTATTTAAAAACAAACAAAACGTACGAAGAACTTTTTGTGAGACGCGCTTTAACTCTTCAAAGTGCACATTTAGATACTAGCTGCGACCGCAATAAGCCATCAGTAGAAGTCTTGTGGTGCACCATACGCTGGTGTATGAAGAGGGTGTTATGGCACAGTCATTTGACGTTTAAGGAGATCACGACTCTTTTTGCTCAGATTGAGGCAATATTAAACTCAAGGCCTTTGTGTCCCTTATCATTTTCTCCAAGCGATTTGTCACCTCTCACTCCAGGCCACTTTTTAATCGGACGGCCACTAACATCTTTGCCAGCACCAGATCTACAGCTTGTCAACCCCAATCGCCTACACTGATTTGCTAAAATTGAACAAGCACGACAGAATTTCTGGACCAGATGGAGCCAGGAGTATATTTGCTAGTTACAACAACGCAATAAATGGCAGAAGAAGCAACCCGACATCAAGCCTGGTCAACTCGTGCTCATCAAAGACGATGTAACGCCTCCACTTAAATGGCCTCTCGGAAGAGTTAAGACAATTTATCCAGTTGCTGATGGAGTTTGCCGGGTGGCAGACATTTATACTGCAAAGAGCACAATCAGGCGAGGCCTAAATAGAATACGCCCATTCCTGGATGTAGAGGAAACAGTTTAAAAGCAGATCTTTTAAAAAAGTGGGAGGATGTTACCGCCAGCTACTGCAACCGGTTCCATGCATGACGTCAAGCGCCCCGCCACTCGTACCTACGATCGGGCAGATAGCTAGAAATCGCCCAAGCGACAGTACACCGTTTTCTAATTGTGGGAACTGTTGCCGGGGTATGGTGTGGATGGTCGATTGCTAAGGGCTGTGCAGTCACTTTACTGTGACTGTAAAGCCTGTGTGCGGGTAGGGCATGACCTGTCACCCATGTTTAGCGTCCAAACGGGCGTAAAACAGGGTTCTGTCATGTCTTTCTGGCTATTCATACTGTATCTCGACAGCTGTTTACAGAAGCTGAAAGATAGCTGTTTGGGTGTGGAATTGGGTGACATTAAAGTAAATTGTCTGCTGTATGCTAATGATCCAGTGCTTATTGCACTATCAGAGGCATAACTGCGGGCATTAGTCACGTGTATGAAAGAGGAATGTGAAATTAAAGGTCTCCGTTTGAATGCTAATAAAACTAAGGTTCTGGTATTTGAAATGGACGAAGAGAGAACGAAGTGTGAAATATGGGTAAATCAGGAATGTCTAGAACAGGTAAATGAAATTGTATACTTGGGGAGTGCTTTTAGCCGGGATGGAAGATGTGATTTAGATGATTTAGATCAGGCGTGTCGCTGCCGGGAACAAAGTCAATGGTGCCCTGACTGCGTTAGTCAAAAGGCAAAGCGTAGTGAAGAGCACGCCTTGCAATACATAACGCAGTGTTGGTACTGACCTTTTTATATGGCAGCGAAACCTGGGTATGCCAGAATGAGCATAAAAGTAAGTTGAATGCAGTGGAGATGCGATCTCTTCGTAAAATGTGCGGCGTTACCATGGCCGACCGAAAGCGAAACGAAGAGATTCGCAATATGGCAGGTTTAAAAGATGACCTTGTCACAAAAATTGATAAGGGAGTGCTTTGATGGTTTGGGCACGTTGAGCGAATGAGTGAAGACCGAATGGTGAAGAAAATATATAGCGCGAAAGTAAATATTAAAAGGTGTCGAGGTAGACCGAGACTAACTTTCGAAGACCATGTGAGCAAATTGCTCGAAGGGGAGAGGGTCAAGAGTACTCGGATACCTAGACGTTCATGTATGAAGAAGATAATGAATCTAAAAGAAGCGAAAGAGGTATGTAAGGATCGTGACACTTGGCGATCTGTTCTCCCTGGCTACCCCATCAGGGATTGTGCGTAAAAATAAGTAAGTAAGTAGTTTACTTATTTATTTTTTGTTATAGTTTTTTAATATTGTATATATTTCAATATTATGTAAATAAATGTTAAAAAGTACACAAATGCATTATCATCCCTAAAATAAAATGTACATACTTATAAAAGGAATGAAAGCCCTACGGTCTACATGTATACATTACCATTTTTAATTTTCTTCTTTTAATAATTTCAGGCTCTGATAGTTGCTGAAACGAATGAGACAAAAATATATTTATACAATTCTATTTTTTTTGATTTTCTTGTTTACGCCACTTATTGTAGCCATGTGTAACTCCGCTACCTCCTTTCCTTTTTTCAAGAGGTACGATGAGATGTGAAGACGTGTAGTGAAGTAGAGAATATTTTTATAATTTTTTTTATTATCGTGAATAACCCTTTAAATAAAACGAATTTAATCACTTATTTGATAGCTTAAACCCAAATACAGTAGAAATAGGATTAAATAGGAAGTTCATTTTGATATAACAAAGTTCCACGTGAACCAAGTTACCCGTATGACTCGAGATTCAATCAGAGAATCGGCCTACATCTATCAAGACTTTTATAAGCTGATAAATGAACGATACTGATGTTGAGTTACGTTTCGATCAAAATTAAAACTAATTTATAAAAAAAATGTTATTGCTACTATTACAATAAACTATTTGTAACACGTGACGCAAATAATAACCAAAGGCAAACTATATCGAAGCCATAAATTTAGTATTTGATCAGCGGTCTTCGCCAAAAACTGTTTCCCTGTTATATTTGCGCGATCATAATGAAAGTAGCAATACGTTGTGATCTTCACACATAATTCACCACGGATATAAATGTAAGTACGTATTTTCATATATTTTACATTGAATTGTCAAATAATCATTTCTCATGTATGTGATAATTCTTTATAATCTCAAAATATTGTAAATTGGTTCTATTTTAGAATTCAGTTGATTTTATGCTTTTACTCACTGTTCTAATGCACTAATACATATGACGTGCCAGCGGAGCGCTGGTCGCATCCCTCGCCATGCAGCCATTAATGACGTTATGTTAATGACAAATGAATTTGACGGGCCTTAACTACTGCCAACGTACCTGGAATTGTAGAGCCAAATAGCATATTGCGGGACGATGGCAAGAGGCCTGATGGAATGACGCTCATTCTATGGAAAAATATAGTATGGATTGCGACTTGTGTTGTCACATTAGCGCCATCACATCTTGCGGCGATTACACACAAGGCAAGTGCGGCTGCTGTTGTTGCCGAGTCTAACAAGTGGCGCAAATATGCAGCTCTCGAAGAGGAATACATATTTGTGCCGATTGGTGTAGAAACGCTGGGGCCGTGGGGTCCTGAAGCAACGCCTTTGTACAGGGATATCTAATCATACCTTGTCAATGTCTCTGGTGACCCAAAAGCTAGCAGATATTTTGGTCAACGGATAAGTCTCGCAATACAGCTCGGACCGTCTTCTGGGCACACCATCAACATACAGCGGCGATTTAGCAAGTATTTTTACTTAAGTTAACAAAAATAGAAACTTTTTTATTCAATGTAGATCATAAATAATGCTTATTGAAAGTCACTCTTATGTTTAATTACCACTGGTTTGGAAAAAAAACCTCTGGCCTGGGAAGAACCAGCAAGAAACCCAGCGGGACTTTTTTTAAAAAATATTGGTTTACACAATTAACAACACTAAACAAATTAGAAATAGCCTGGTAGCGATGGTTATTTTCATCCATAAATGCTTTAATTTTCTAATAACCCTTTTTATACAAACTTAGTTTAATAAGGTTTTTGAACTTATAGCAGGTCATATTTTGTAAGTTTTCTGGAATTTTGTTGTAAAAGTGTATACATCGCCTCAAGAATGAATTACTGACTCGGTGGAGTCGAGTAACTGGTACTGCTAACTTGTGTCTGTCCCTATTATGAATATCACTTATTATTGTAAAACTTTACATACTGTATAATTTTGTAAAACATTTTTTCCTTTAACTTGTTTATTATTTGAATTGGAAGTATTTATGTTTTAACTTCATTTGTTTATAAGTTGTATAAAATAACTGTTACATACGTTTTTATCATATTTCTATTACACCGCAAACAAAGCATAAATAAACAAGACCAATTTGATCTTGTTACGAAATAATTACTCCTGACTGATACATTGTTTGCGAGCACGTCTTGTAGCTAATTTCGTCTAAAATTCCGTGATAATGGATGAACGCTCTTCAATCTTATTGTACATTGTACAGTGGACGCCCGGTAATCCGACAAACATTTTGCAGGGCGGTGTCGGACTATCAAATTTGTCGGATTATAGAGTACTGCCTAAGACCCCTTATAGTCCGGAATTTTTATAAAAGAGTACCTTGTAATCCGACAAATTCCAGATCCAATGATAAGATTCTATATTATGTTACATATATGTACTCTGAAGTACAAATTATACTTCATTATGTATGTCAAATTTAGTAACTTAAAATTCAAAACAATACCCTACGCGTCGAGCACAATAGTGATGGTGTCAAAAAAGTCAAAGTTCTGTTCGAATCCATGGCCCATGTAGTTATTAAGTAACGTTATATGAGTAAGTCATGTATATTAGGGTCTGATGGGACTGATATACCCTAAGCGGTAAATGTCCCTTAAATTATAATAGAATAAAAATAAAGAAAAAATAAAAAAATATATTTAATAATAAATGATAGACCATGTCGGATTACAGGGGGTGCCGGATTACCGGGGGTCCACTGTAGTATTAAAAACATAACGAATAAGCAATGTGATGAAGAATTCGAAAGTATAAAATATAATAATCATCTTTTTCAACATTTTAAAATGTCTTTAGAAATATAGAAAAATTCGATTTGCTAACGTTTTATTTACTTCCTCTTAACGAACCTATTACCTTCACTGTCATACAAGTATACAACCAAATATACCATTACTGAAAAAAAATGTGTGCCCTGTGTACATCGTTGAATAAAATTATATTTGAAATATTTTTTGATGTTTTAACTTCTTTAGAATCGTGAAAAAGAGAAAAACATATGCATATTGTACATGATTTAGCCTACAAAAGAATGATAATACTGTGTAGTAAGCGACATTAACCGGTGTAATGGCAGTTGTGGGTTTGAATACGCCATTCGACTACTGTTGCAACGTACTAACGCAAAGATTTTCAGCTTAACAGTAATGATGAAGGAAAATATTAGTAATGCATTGCTGGTATTTTTTAAATACAGTGTTTTCTATTATCTCGTCTCCTCTTATTGCGATGCTTTCAAGATGGTTTATATAAATTTTAACTGTTATAATAAACAGTTAAGAAAATTAACAAACTTATTAAATGAATAAAATTAACCATAATATTGAATGAAATAATCACATCCAATCTATCCATTAAACAAGTGAAATTTTTTAGTTTTATTAAAAAAATTATATATCACTTTTTTATAATATTCTTGCATTGTCTTTCGAATTTGAGATATATTCAAAATTTCAAGTTTCCAGCTCATCGGGAAGTTAGTTTAAAATCAATTACTAAATTCCACCCGAAACGACAAACAGACAGACAGACTAACAAGAAAGTATTAGTGACTTAATAAAAACGTGGTAAAATCCATGATTTTATTACTTCATGCCATCTAGCGTCTATATTACGTACCATCTTGAGAGTCAAACAATTATTGTTCCATAAAATGACATTACCGATAGAATGAAGTAGATGGCCATTACAAAACAATATTACACGAAATAATAATCATTTTGATTTATTATATTAAAATTTTGGCATTATATGGCAAAATTAAGTATTATGCGGCATAAAATATAATATAAACTCAAAATTTTATCTCATATTTTATGCCGCACTTGTGGTAAATAAATCATTTGCCGTGACACATGTTTTTGTTTTTTTTTTTGTATTTAATATATAATATAATAATAATTTATCTCATTGGCAAAATTCCGCTCAAAAACATAACTGCTCGGGGCAAACTGAACAACGATACCAAGGCGACCCCTGCGACATTATCCGTGAATTTCTGCAACATCAGGGGACTCTAAATGCCGTCCACTACCATCTCGAGACGGCGAAGCCGGCCTTGCTCTTTTTGACCGAGACGCAGGTGTCCTCTGCGGCTGATACTTAGTATCTCTCCTACCTGGGGTACCTGGGCTCTGTTCACGTTTAACCGATCATGCTGGCGCCTTCCTTCGGGAACCCGTGCATTCTGGTCTCTCGCTAAGGCTGCCCAAGGGAATTTCTGTAAGCCATCACTACCATCTCTGCACAGGGAGGACGACTCACTGGCTCAAGCCGCAAAAGACAAAGCTGACCTTTTAGGCTCCCTTTTTGCGTCCAACTCGATTCTTGATGACGGGGGGAAAACACCGCCGACTATCCCGCGGTGTAAGTGCTCCATGCCGGATATGCTGTTCTCACAGCGCTCGGTTCGCAAAGCACTCCTCTCCCTGGACATCCAGAAGTCGAGTGGGCCTTACGGACGGAATCCCCCCAATTGTGCTGAGGACGTGTGCTCCGGAATTGGCACTGGTCCTAACGCGTCTTTTCCGGTACTCCTACTCCCAAGGCGTAGTCCGGAATTCATGGAAGACAGCTTTTGTCCACCCGATCCCTAAAAAAGGCGACCGCTCAGACCCGTCCAACTATAGGCCTATCGCCATCACCTCCTTATTCTGCAAAATAATGGAATCCATTATTAACTGCCAGCTCATGCTAGTGTTGCCCAAAATCGGTCTTGATCTTGCAGTCTTGGTCTTGTTCTTGCATTTTTGCAAGACCAAGACCAAGAACAAGACCGCCTAATTTTAGCAAGACCACGACCAAGACTGACCGTGCAAGATTTGAGCAAGAACAAGACTAAGCCTGCGAGACTCTTGTGTCTTGCAGTTAGGAATGAGTGTCGTTTCAGGGAGTATAGGAGTTCGGGTATACGCTTACGTCTATGAGACGCAAAAAATATATTAAAAAAATTTGGAAAATTGGACTTATGCGCATTACGAACAATACCATAAACATACATAGCGGATGAAAATATCCATTAAAAGAAAAAACAGTGCATCCCTAGTTTTGACCATCGGCACTTTGATAGTGCGCGGCGTCTTGTTGTCTGCATCATCAAAGGTCGAATACTGACCTGTCAAAGAAATTTTGCAGCTATTCGGAAGTACAAGGTCAAGATACACGCGCCGGCGGCTTCTATTGATATCGCATTCAATCGTCGCCGCCGCGCCGCACGCACTGCATTTGACACTGTTTGAATGTCGCCACAGAGTACATGTTCCAAAGAATAAAATAAGTTTCCGGGTGCTCAGAATGGACACGAATACATTATGCTGATCTCGCAAGGAATATTGTAATTAGATAATGGTAAGGATAGGTAGATACCATAATAATTTATTCTAGTAAGTAATTATTATAATATTAACTAAATGGGTTTATAATAATTACTTACTATTATTATTATTACCTAATAGATAAACAAGTTCAATAAGTTCACTGCAAATCTCGATTTTTGGAAGTTTGTGTTTTTGAACACAAAGTGTTCGAATATGTCGTCACCCATTTGATAAATATTGTAGACACTTTTAACACACTTGAAACGTGTAAACATTTTGTACAATGCTAATCGAATAATATAAAAAGTGTACATATTAAATAAAAAGCGTAAAATAAGATCTATGTACTTTTTAGGAGCCCGAGTATCTCTCAGAGAACCGTTTAAAGAAATTGATTGCATCGAATTGATGTAAATAATAGTGATTTGCACAATTTTAATAGTAGAAATAAAAAT